AATAGTAAGCGCAACACTTGCACAATTTAAACTGTTCTTCGGATTTTGATTCCGGTTGGCCAAGAAGAACCCAAGAACCCAATTCGCATTGTCTTCCAAAAACAAACAGCAGAAAACGCGCACTTATCCGCCTCGCAGCCGCTCGGACTATTCTAAAGCCCGTGTCAGCCGATTTCGCAATCTGAAATTGAAAGCGGCTAAACAAATAAATGCATCCATCATTAGCGTCGCGCCGTGCGTGCGTGCGCACGTGGGCGCGCTTCTCCTACCTACGATGAATAGTGTGTGTAACTACGACTGTGTGCGTGTGCGTGTGCGTGCCCGAAGCAGAGGAAGCGTGCGTGCGGAGTGCCGTGGGACGAACGAAGCCAGTGGTGGAGTAGGTAGACGATTGAAGAGAAAAGGAGAGGAGTTCTGGCAGACAAACAGAGAATAGAACAGAGATGGTGAGGCTGAGCCGGCTTACGTAGTCCCACGCGACGGCTCGTGGCTCCTCGTGGCTGACGCGCGTCGCGTCCGTCGCCGTCGCGCCGTCCTTTGTCGCGGGTTGATAGCGAAATCAAGAATAGATCAAATAACGAATAACCCTGTATCTTCTGGCTAGTAACGAATTCACGACATGCATTTCTATATTTCATTGCAATTACTATTCTTTTTTACAATTCTTAATTACTGATTTTTTCTACATATCATTCAAAATATTTAACGCATTTTACGTGTGCAATTGACATCTATGAACGAACGTTCTCTTTTCTTTTTGCATAATATTGATAATGAAAAAGGATTTAGAGAATTATAGAAATATTATATTTAAAACAGTATAACAGATCGAAAGTCCAGATTTCGACTAATTTAACAAAATTTAGACACTCCCACTGATTAACCCCAAACTTTTCATTACAGATTCAGCGCCTCCGCATTGTCCACGGTTCTCACGGAACTTCCATTTACGTATTTCTCAACACGAAGACGTGTCACGAGGAGCAGCGAATAACCCACGTTTACCGAAAGCCCACGACGACGCGTCGTTCGTGCAGCGACATTTCATGCTCACGCAACCGCAATTAAAACAGACCAAGCAGAAGAAACGAGAAATGAAAAAAAGAACGGTGAACTTTCATAAGTGGTTCGTGGGAGAGCTTCATAAACGAGCAGCACTTCATTAGCTCGGTACCAGGAGACGATCGTTTGACTCTTCCATGGCTCGTCACATCTTGTCGTTTTCGTTGACGTCGTTCGAGAGAAATGGTAGAGCCGTTCTCGTCGTGCGTGGAATGGGAAATCGCCTTTGAGGTCACCACGACGGAGGAAGTTCGTCACGTGGTTCGACGCGGTTGCTTCGCCTTAACCTCGTAAAGCATTTAAATGGAAAGTTAAGGTAAACGCGCCAAAATTAAGGTCGCAGTCGTGCGTCGGCACAGACAAAAGCTACCAGCTGGGATCCTCGGATTTTCTCCAAGCTGACTAACATCGAACGCGATGGATTGGATTGAATTGGCTCGACTCCACGCCTGTGTACATAACGTCGATCGTTGTCGATCAACCGCGATCCAGCAAATCGCTTCGAATGAATATCCGCGGGAACGTCTGGCTTGAACCAATCAAACCAATTACGTGCGATTTATTATACACACATGCGTATATAAATATACATTCGTTTCTGGCTACACGACTTGTTTACATTGGATTTAATAAAATATCGACACAGTTACGATACATTCATGCTGAGATATTACTTACTTTTTCCATGAATTAGTAAACCATTCAACGCGCGAAATATAAATAAAAAATATAACGCGCT